GATCCATGTCCAAACCTAGCCACATAGTCCTAAACATTTCCTGCGAAGTAAGTGAATGACACAAGCTTAAAATGATGTACCTTCATGTGTTGCAGCTGAGCCTGTTCCCAGTTGTACCGTTTCATTTGGTTTTCAAGAAGTTCAATGCGAGTTTTAACAAACTGGTCGTAGTTACCCTGGAAAGATTACCATTACACATAACAAAAGCCTTCTCAAGAAACCTACCGTATAATAGACCAACTTCTTTTGGAAAAGGTGAATAATATTTGTACAAACACCATTCATAAAATCTTGTGAATGTGAAACAATCAACAACGTTCGCTTGTATTTGCTGAGTTCGCCCTCCAGCCAGACGCAAGCCTCGAGATCCAAATGATTCGTGGGTTCATCAAGAAGAAGCAGTGATGGTTTCAAGTATAGAGCTCGAGCCAATGCAATACGCATCCGCCAACCTCCTAAAAATGAAAAGATTAGGAACTATACAACTCGCAAGTACTCGAAAACCAACCAGAGAAATCCTTGCACGCCTTCATTTGCATGGTTTTTGTAAAACCCAACCCGTGAAGTATTTCGGCAGCCCTTTTTTCGGCCAATGACGCATCCATGTCATCGAGCCTTTCGTAGATGTCCATAAGTTTCTCTTGGCTCTCTGAAACTCAAGATAGTGAGCATCTACGAAATGAAATCGATACCGGTAAAACAAACCATCATCGTCATTTCCAGCAAGCTCCTCGGCAAGATGTTCTAATTCTTTTCTCTCCGTATCAACATCAACTACAGCTTGTAAGGCAGTCATATTCGAAGCAGGCATTTCACGCGATACCTAAAAGTTGCAACAAATAAGTATGGATATTTGTCTATGGTTATGAGCTCCAATTCTAATTTGGTCTAATTCTTCCAAAAGATCTGAAAAAGATGTTGCAAGTATATGTTGAGACACACAGATTTTCTGGGGATCTTGCACCTGGTTTTGAACAACGAGCCGATAAAAGGCATAATTATAGGAAAAAAAGATGAAATCATTCCTTGACGGGATATCGATTTGGAAAGAAAGAAAGAAGGACTTACTA